CTGGTATGAATGTTTGACTTCAATAAAAAGCACACAGTACAGAGACAAAGATATGGAAAATGTGAAAAAGTATTAAGTGTCATAAAAGATAGAATAAGGTCATTTAATATTAGTTCCATAAAAAGAGGATATTGAGAATGTGAGAGACATTTCCCCCTAGAACTAATGTAAGGCATGAATCCTCAGATACAGTAGGGACAACAAATCCCAAGCAAACCAAATGAAATCTACTCAGACATATTTACATATTCAAAGTTATATTTTACTAGAGGCCTGGTGCATGGATTCGTGCACCAGTGGGGTTCCTCAGCCTGGCCTGCGCCCACTTGCAGTTCGACATCCCCCAAGGATGTAATAGTGCCCCAAGCGGCAGGCCAGGGGGAGGAGCCCAAGCCCGGGAAGGGCGCCGCACCGCTCCCGCTCATCCCAGCCCCACTGCACCTGCCACCGCTGCTGCTCAGTAGCGCTGCCACGGAGGCAAAAGAGGCTTGCGACGCCGAAGCTGCGCTTGCCAGCAATGAGCCCAGTGTCTGGTGCCCTTTGGTCAGCTAAGCGGCACTCCCAGTGGGAGCGCACTGACCACCAGGGGGCAGCTCCTGTGTTAAGCATCTGCCCCCTGGTGGTCAGTGCGCATCATAATGACCAGTCAAACAGTCAACTGGTCGCTTAGGGTTTTATATAGAGAGATTGTATTAAAAATAACAATTTACGATTTTAACCCCACTCTATTGTACAGCACAATAGGGTTAACTATATGCACACTGCTATGCATAAAGTCGATAGTATTTGGTATCTCACTAACAGAAAGCCTATATCCAATTCTTCCCCCAGCCCCTGGCACCACCATTCTATTTTCTAAGACTTTCCCCATATAGGTGGAACCAAATACATATATTTTATGTATTCATTTATTTATTTATTTTTAATATACCATTATCTTTATTGATTCAGAGAGGAAGGGAGAGGGAGAGGGGAAACATGATGAGAAAATCATTGATCAGCCACCCCCTGCATGCCCCCTGCTGGAGATCAAGCCTGCAACCAGAATCGAACCCGGGACCCTTCAGTCCGCAGGCCGATGCTCTATCCACTGAGCCAAACTGGCCAGGGAGCATATATTTTATTAAAATACTAGAGGCCCGATGCATGAAAATTCATGCAAGAGAAAGCCTTCCCTCCTCCAGCCACCAGCAGGCACCCAGGACCGGGGCTGCTTCCCTCCTCCTGCTGCCCGCAGGCACCTGGGACCCGGGATGGCCTCCGGCCCTGGCTTCGTCAGGAAGGACGTCTGGAATGATGTCCAGAAGATGTCCGGTCTAATTAGCATATTACCCTTTTATTATTATAGACTAGTAGCCCATCGCACGATATCGTGCACTGTAGGCCGCCCGCTGCTTCCGCGGGAGCTGGTGGAAACTGCAGCACGCCGCCAAGAGCCGCGTGGCTTCCACGGGAGGTGGAAGCGAGCCGCCAGTGGGTGCCCACGGGAGCTGGAAGGGTCCCATGCCAATTGCGTGGGAGGCAGGAAGAAGCCATGCTGATTCCATGGGAGGTGGGAGGGAGCCGTGCTGCTTCTGCGGGAGGTGGGCCCGCCATTTCCTCTCTGGGCCTGCGCTCAGCTGCAGAGGCTGTGGGCTGGCCCCCCTCTCTGTCTCCATCTGTGCTCCCGGCCTCACCTGCATGAGTAACCTCCTCCTGTCGGGTCGTGACCCATTATGGCATCCCGGCCTAATTTGCATATTTCCTCTCTCTATATATATAGATATAGATAGATAGATAGATAGATAGATAGATTCTCTTTTTATTTATCCTTTACAGTTAGAGCGACATAACAATTTTTAAAAATATTGTGCCATTCTTTTCAATTCCAGTGCTACTGAAAACTCATGTTTAAAAAGTGATGTTACTGGGAGGGGCACAAAGAACTATTTGGGTGATAGAAATGTCCTACATCTTGTCCATCAAACTGAACCCTTAAAGATCTGTACACATTGCATTTAAAGTACACCTCAATAAAAACCATCACATTAAAAACATATTGTGCCATAAAGGAAGCAAAACAAGGTATCTGTTATTTAAAAATAGCCATGATTTACATAGAATTCAGAACTGTCGGGTCCCATATGAATCTAACTAACTCATATGTATAACATTCCACTCTAGTAACCTTTAGGAACTCTTGGCTCATTTACAATTTGTACTTGGAGGCTCCAAGTGCAAGTTGCCAGTTATAAAAACAGTCACAGGGTGTAAAGTATGGCATAGTCATTAATCCTATATAATAAAAGCCTAGTATGCAAATTGTCCCCTCGACCAGGAGTTGCCTGGGAGTTCGATCAGGGGGTGGGGCTGGCCGGGGGAAGGGAGGGAGGCCCCGGCGGGCAGCTGGCAGCCGTTAGGGACCCTACCAGTGCATGAATTTTGTGCACCGAGCCTCTAGAATTGTAATCACTATGTCTGGTGTCAGATGGGACTAGAATTATCAGGGGAATCACTTCATAAGGTATGTAAATGTCTAATCACTATGTTGTACTTTAATGTAATATCATATGACAACTGTAGTCGAAAATTAAGTTAAAAATATATATGGCAAAAAATACACAAAACAAACAATAACTTCTCTTGGTTAATCCTCTCTCCTGTTCCTTTCTTATCCAGATGTGAGAGGTCCATTTAATTTCTGGTTACAACCACTTGTCCTCAACTATACCTTTGAACACTAATTTTTATCCTTTAAACACTAAGAGGGAACACAATTCCCACACACATTCACAAATATAGGCAACATTTGCCAAGCACAAGTCTGTATCCTATTATACAGCTACTAGAGGCCCGGTGCCCGGGGCTGGTGGGGGTGGGGGTGTCTCTCAGCCCGGCCTGCACTCTCTGGCAATCCGGGATCCGGCCTAAACCAGCAGTCAGACATCCCTCTCGCAATCCGGACCGTTGACTCCTAACTGCTGGCCTGCCTGCCTGCCTGCCTGATCGCCCCTAACCACTCTGCCTGCCTGATCGCCCCTAACCACTCTGCCTGCCTGATCGCCCCTAACCACTCTGCCTGGCTGATCACCCCTAACCACTCTGCCTGGCCGATCACCCCTAACCAATCTGCCTGCCTGATCGCCCCTAACCACTCTACCTGGGCCCCTGCTGCCGTTTCATCCGGAAGGATGTCTGGAAGGTCGTTTGGCTGTCCAGTCTAATTATGCTTTTATTATTATAGATAGTTTTGCCTTCTTTTAGTTTGGAGTTTGGAAGATTCAGAACTGTTCTGACCTGGAATGGGAGGGAGGCAAGGCCTGTAGCAGCTGGAAATCACAAGGTCAGGACCCAGGGATGTCAGGCCTGGATCCTGGCTCAGCGCTGCGCTGCGGGGCTGTTTCAGGGCTGAGATGCCGTTTGTAGGGAAGACCGCGGGTGAGAGCCGGGAGAGCCAGCCTGCCCGGGTCGCTCCTCACTGCTGTCCCATTGCTTCACCGCCCTCGGCCCGGTTTCCCTGTTGGGAACCTTGGGATCAACGGCAGGGTTCCCTCGGAGCATTCTGAGGCCTGGCGAGCGCACAGGACTTTGCACAGCGCACGGATAAGCGGTGAACTGTAATGCTTGGCTATCCCCACCCGGTCCCTTTATGAGAACGTCCCTACAAACACCGAGTCACGGTCGTTACTAGGCGGCCCCGTTTACGGTCAGTGTTTCGTAACACATTTTACCAATTTCCGTGCCCGTGCCCGCCTCCAATGACCAAGTGCATTAACAAGAGCCGGTGTCCTCCTCGGGCTCCCGGCGCTGTCCACACCGGCCACTGCCTCCCAGCCCCTCCGTCCAGGCTGCACCGGGGGGTCCTGAACCCAGAGCTCCGTCCGCTCGTTACTCCCAGTCCCCGCCGCCCGGTCCTGGTGACAGTTCCAGCGGACGGCCGCCCCGCCCAGGGAGGAAGCCCCAGCGCCGAGCGGCGGCCGGAAGTGCGGCCTCGGGGCGGGCAGAGCGACTCCAGGCGGAGCCCGGGGCGCTGGCCAATCGGATGCGACGGCCCCGCGGAGAGGGCGGAAGCGAGGAGGTCTAGTTCCGGACGCGGCGGCGCCCGCCGCCATCTGTCACCGCCACTTCGGCCCGGCCCGGCCCGGCCCGGCCCCGGCTCCCCGTCGCCCCGGCCCCGCCTCCGGCCCCGCCATCGCTCCTGTGCTCGCGGCTGGCTCTTCCCCGCATGGATCTGGTCGGAGTGTCATCGCCGGAACCCGGGCCGGCAGCGGCCTGGGGACCCAACAAGGTGAGCGGCGCTCGGGGCCGTCGCACCGCCCTGGTCCCCGGGGCCGGTCCTGGGAAGGCCCGGAGAGGGTGGCGGGCGCCCGGGAGGGAGGGGCGGGGACGGCGCGGCTGCCAGACTCGAGGTCTTTCTCCGGGAGCTCCTTGCGCCCCAAAACGCGCACTTGTGGGCGGGACCCGCCTGCAGACGTGACGTTCGCGGACTTGTTTTTCTGGGCGCAGTGAGTCAGCCCAGTCACACCCGGGAACCGGCGGAAAGGTAACAGCCCGGGGGCTCCCTCCGCGGCAGCTTCGTGCGCTCGGGGAGAAAGGATGAGCCCAGGCCCCCTGGCCGCCCAGGCGGACCCCGAGGGGGACTCAGCCCTGGGCTGTAACATCTGTTTCAGCTTTTCCTCCGGCGGCTGAGTCCACCTTTGGCTCCTGGGTCTCGGGCTGCTGCTTGTCATGCTTTCCCTAGAAAAGACTGTCACTTGTTGAGGGCTTGCTGGAAAGTAAGAATGCTTCCGTTGGGATTTGTGTTCCTCAAACTAAAGTTAGGAAGGAATCCAACTTTTTTTAGCTTCATAATTGTTCTTTATATACCAACACAGAACATTTTTTTCGTGTAAAACAGTGGTTCTCAACCTTCTGACCCTTTAAATACAGTTCCTCATGTTGTGGTGACCCCCAACCATAAAATTATTTTCGTTGCTACTTCATAACTGTAATGTTGCTACTGTTATGAATTGTCATGTAAATACCTGATATGCAGGATGGTCTTAGGCGACCCCTGTGAAAGGGTCGTTCGACCGCCAAAGGGGTCGCGACCCACAGGTTGAGAACCGCTGCCCTAGAGTGTGTGTCTAGCTGCTTGGGGAGACGAGGGATCTTCCTGTGGCTTAGGGTTCTCTCCATTTGCTTTGAGTTGAGGACTGGATTTTTGTTGTGTGCCCACTTGTTTGCTCTTTTTTATTGTGCTTGATTCTCTCCCTGTATCCGTCTGCAGTAGAACTTTAAACAAAGAAAAGTGGGAGGGCAGCTAGGGATCATCTTTTTTTTTTCTTTTAAATATATTTTTATTGATTTCAGAGAGGAAGGGAGAGAGAAACACCCCCTACTGGGGATCCAGCCGTCAACCCGGGTATGTGCCCTTGACCAGAATTGAACCCAGGACCCTTCAGTGCACAGGCCAGTGCTCTATCCACAGAGCCACACTAGCTCGGGCGCAGGGGTCGTCTTTAGGAGATGGGCGGGAAAGGGTGATGTCCCCATCAGGCAGGTGGGAGTGTGGCAGCAGTGAAGACCCCGCTCTGAGCAGAGCCGAGTGGTGGCCGTTTCCGAGGGGAGGAGAGCCTGGTGGGTCTCGGGTTCTTCAGCAAACAGGACAGAAGGAATCAGGGAGCTGGTTACGGGCCTGGTGTCATTGAGAGCAGATAGCGGACTGGAAAGGACTGTGGGGCTTCCTGTCTTGATGCAACAGGGAATTTGTATAGATGAAGGAATAGTGGGAAATGATGTTGGACAGCAAAGATAGAGATTAGGAGGGCGTCTTAGATTTATTATTATTCTAGCATTAAATAAAGTTTTCCTAAGTACAAAGAGTGTCTGATTTACTGGAGAGTTGCAAGATGATGACAAGAGGATTCCCCTATATACAGTCCATGGTACCCATTCCTAGGAGGGGCCCCCGGTAAATTTTCTAAGCCCCCCTTGAGGTGGTAAACCCCTTGTGCCTGTGTGGTGGATTGTCAGCTTACACATTTTTATGGAGGACTTTTGACTACTGATTTGAAGAGTTTGGATTTGATCAAAGTATGGGGGTTGGCAACCTTTCGGAAGTCTACTTATTTGCCCTCACCCAAGGAAGGCAGCCCAGCTGAGCTGTCAGCAGAGGTACAGGAAGGAGACGTCTGGAGTCCGAGGCTCTGAGAGCAAGAGCAGTGGGAGTGGGCTGGGTGTCTGGTGCCCACTGAGCTCTCCCTTTCTGATTCCGTCTATGTTAGAAGTAGGTAAACCTCTGCCTCAAAATTACACAGTAAGCCTGTCATTTATGCCTCTTCTAAGGAATTGTCAGCTAATTTCACGTTATTGGAATTACTTGATGTTGACAAAAGACTAGAAACACCTTCGAGATGGAAAAAGGACCTGGAATAGCACCAGGCCTCTAGAGCCCCGGGACCACGTGGCAGTGGATGGACTATCTCCAGGGTTTCCTGTGGGCACTTACTCAGTAAGTGCTGGGTGCCTGACGGTGAAGCCCTGTGCTGGGCTCTGAAAATGGAGACACCGGCCTTCCAAGGCTCCTGTTGTGTTGTGGTTGATGCAGTAACGCCAGGGCAGTGATTGGTGCTGCTCCCAGAGGACACAGCGGGATGGGAACCAGGGGATGGAAGCTGAGAGCCTGGAGGAGGAGGGTGATTTAATTGGGGAAATGGGAGGAAAAGGCATCAGAGAGAAGAGCATGTGACGGTGTGGAAGGGCATGTGGTCAAGTGTTGCTTGAGCATCGGGTAATGAGACTGGAAAGTTAAACTAGGCCAGGTTTTGAAGGACATTGACTGCTGAGGAATTCGCATGTAGACTGCAGGCAGTACAGCAGTTTGCGTCTCATGTCCCAAGACAAGATGATTAGGGGAGCAGTGTGGCACTGTGAGTGCAGTCCTAGGTGCAACACTTCCATCTACAAAAAATCTTTCTGTGTCTCTGTTTCTAAATCTATAAAATAGGGATGCTATTGCAACTGCTCAATGGTGACTTTCATCTAGATGTTATATATATTTAGTCAGTGACTAAAATATAGTGAATTTTTATTTTACTAATAGTCATTGCAAATGTGATTGACGATTGACAATTCTGAGTTAGAGAATACGGTCATTTACCTCTTGGAACCTGTACTTTGAAACTGATCAGACCAAACATTCCTAGGCAACATTAAGTCTTCTACCCTAGAGGGTTTAAGACAGCGGTTCTCAACCTGTGGGTCGCGACCCCTTTGGCGGTCAAACGACCCTTTCACAGGGGTCGCCTAAGACCATCGGAAAACACATATAATAATTACATATTGTTTTTGTGATTAATCACTATGCTTTAATTATGTTCAATTTGTAACAATGCAAATACATCCTGCATATCAGATATTTACATTACAATTCATAACAGTAGCAAAATTACAGTTATGAAGTAGCAACGAAAACAATTTTATGGTTGGGGGTCACCACAACATGAGGAACTGTATAAAGGGTTGTGGCATTAGGAAGGTTGAGAACCACTGGTTTAAGAAGTCAGAGTCATGTGGCCAAAAGATGAGCTATGTTCTCCAGATTACAGAGCTTCAAGATTCTAGACCCAGAACCCTTCCAGGAGAGTCACCCCAGCCCTTGAGGAAGCCGTCTGTGTTCTCGGTCAGCTCTGCTGGGGGCTAGTGCAGGTGTGCTGAGAGCTGGGCGCCTCTCCTCCTCTCGGGAGGAGGCTGGATAAAGCTGGGTTCTGATTCACTTAGGCATAGTTGTCATTTATCACCCTGAAGTGCTCCACCCTGGCAGCCTGAACCAAGTGGATTTCTGAACCTCAGTGTTGTGGAACCTGAACAAGGGTCAGTGGCCCAGCTGTCCTCAGAGTCACGCCAGGCCCTTAGGCCAGCTAGAGGTCTTTTACTGGCTAAATGTGATGAACAGTTTGTCTGGCTAAAACATCATGTGCTGCTTCTAAATTAGACACTCAGTACTAGTTAAGGAATGAGTCTGGACTTTACGCTAAAGGCAGTGGGAAACATTAAAACAATGAAAGAGCTTTAAGTAAGGAAACTGGAGCAATCAAATCTGCATTTTAGAGGGGGAAACCACTGTTGTGGTGGCTGCCTGGCAACAAGCAGGGCTGGCAGCAGAAAGATTGGTTGGAGGTGCTTACAGGAGATGGCGTTGATATCTGGGGGAGAATCTTGGAAGGGGAGCTGGGCGAGTTCAAGAGAGAGTTAGACATTGTCTTCAGTAATGGTGGTCCTAATCCCTGGGCTTTCAAATGTCATCGTTCACTGTTGCTAAGTAAAGCTTGCCCCTCAGAAATGAATTGTGAAGTTTACCTACGTTTTGTATGTCAAGAGGGCTGAGATAGTGATGTCATTGAGGAAGGCTGACTGACTAGCCACCTGTCTCAGAATATCGCTTGGCTGTGGTGGTGGTGTTGCAAGACTTGAATTGTGCAGTTCGTAGACTGTTCCCCTAAGAGATTCTACCTGGGAAGCCTGGTTATTAGCAGAAGGTTGCTTGTGAGTCAGCATGGATGTGGAACAAGGGGTGTTACATGAACTCATTGGCTGGTGGGGTGATGCTGTGATAGCCTTTTCCCTTCAACTACAAAAGACATACTACCGATTTGAGCTGGGAGGTATTTTTACTTTGAGTTGATTCAACTAGTTTAATTCCCAAAAGCTAACCTTATTTCCAAGTTTGGGAGGTATTTTAATTTCATTATTATGAATTGAATTGTCCTTTTTAAAAATTTTTTATAGTGTCCATGGGCTACTCCTCAAAAGACAATATCCTGTTCTTTGGCTGATGTCATGAGTGAGCAGTTGGCTAAAGAGTTGCAATTAGAAGAAGAAGCTGCTGCTTTTCCTAAAGTTGAGTAAGTAAAATTTAGAAAGAATCAATTTTGTCTGGCAGATTATAACAAGGTTTTAGGATTTGATTAGTGATTGTCATCACAAAGGATTAAGAAATACATTTACAAAAGCAATGCAGTAGAAAGAGCACCATCCTGGGAGTCCACTGATGTTTGAGTTTCGGTCCGGACTCTGACGACTTTTCAGTATTATTTTGGGCAAATCCCTCCATTTCTCTGGTTTAGTTATTGCAACAGTTGAACCAGATGGTCTCCAAATGATCAAATAATATTTTAATCCAGTGCCTGTAGCTTATTTTTTTTATAGATGCTCTCTCTCCTTTGATAAGAACAATGAATTCTGGGTCTTGGTGTGGATTTCATATAGACCCCTAGCTTTCTCTCACAGCTTTCTCCATCCTAGTTGGTGCTCTCACAGGTTCCTGCCACTAATCAGAGGGTGCCTGGGCAGGATAGGTGCTTTGGTAAAGTTTTTCCTATTGTTCCTTTAGTACAGTTTTTAACAGTGAAAAAGCACATCCTACTCTCATAATTGGTAGCATCTGTTTACAGAAGCACAGTATGTTAGTTTATATTGCCTTATTTTGAATAGTGTTGCTGAAGGACCATTTCTTACTGGAGAAAACACTGATACTTCCAGCGACCTAATGCTGGCTCAGATGCTACAGATGGAATTTGACAGAGAATATGATGCACAGCTTAGGCGTGAAGAAAAAAAATTCAATGGCGATAGCAAAGGTACTATGACCTCATTGTGACAACTGCGTTGGATGGTAGAAATGCTTATAAAGTGCTCCTAAATAAGTTTTCAACTATTTTTGCCTTTTAAGTTTCCATTTCCTTTGAGAATTATCGAAAAGTGCATCCCTATGAAGACAGTGATAGCTCTGAAGATGAGGTTGACTGGCAGGACACTCGTGATGATCCATATAGACCAGGTATCAAGGCTTTTATTTGATGGGGCCATAGGAACACTAAGTTTTCCCATGAATCCTTATACCGTATCTTTGAAAAGCATTTGGTAATTTACTACTAGATTCAGATATTTTTTCAGACAATATTGAATTCAGCAATTTAGTTTTTGCTTTTTTTATATACTTGTCTTTAGCAAAACCAGTTCCTACTCCCAAAAAGGGTTTTATTGGAAAAGGAAAAGACATCACCACCAAACATGATGAAGTTGTCTGTGGGAGAAAGAATACGGCCAGAATGGAGCATGTAAGTTACAGACAGTGTTCTCTCTGAGAATGTTACTAAGTTAAAAACATGGGGTTCTAAATACCTATCTTAAAATACTCTTCATCCTTTCTAAAGAAGTTTTAAATTATAATATGGCAGTATCATGAAAACCCTCAGCCACTAATAAGAATATAATGTACCACAATTAAATTCTACAATATTAAGAAAAATAGTTTGATTTATATTAATTCTAAAATTAAGAAGTTGTCTTAGGAAAGTAACATTTATTTTCAGCACATTATTTTTCATAAAATAGCACCCCTACCCAAGAACAGAGAACAGTGGTGATTGGGGAATAACAAGAAGAGGAAAAATACTGTCTACTATCCCCTTCAACACTTTTTACAAGTTTCAGCTTATGCCTGAACTACCCCTGAAAGATCAGAAATAAAATGTAATTAAAAAAAAGGGGGGGGGGGAATAGCATTTTTCCTCTTTCATAAAAATTTGGTGAATATAAAACATTTAGACTTGAGGACACAAATACTTGTTACATAAACATATTATTAAATTCCAGAAACAGTCCAGATCTGACTCTAGAACAACCTTGTCCAGTAGCACTTGTGACAGTAGAAATGTTTTATATCTGTGCTATCTAATATTAGCCATATTTGAGAACTGAGATTTGGGTATTGTAATTGAGGAACTCAATTTTTTATTTTATCTTAACTTTACATACCCACATGTGGCTAGTGGCTGCTATATGGAACACTGCAGCTCTCGAACATAATTGTCATGGAGTGGGCAGAGCTTGCTATACTACCCACTCCTCAGAAATAACTGATGATGAAATTATATTTCTTTGGTTAGATTTGGTGTAGTCTTTAAAATGTACTGTGTCCTTTGCTGATGTAAAAGCAAGGTACAAAGAAACGCTGCAGTGATTTCAGACGTGAGTGGATATCTTTGGTGCATAGGACAGGATAAACCTCTTCCTTGCTGCAGTTTCTGAAACAGCCCCCTCTCCGCTCTGTTGGGTCTATTAGTGAGTCCTTGTATTTCCTCTCTAATGCCAATGCACTCTGCTTTCACAGCCTGTCTATGGAGTAGGTAACCTGTTTAAAGTATTCAGATGCTAATGCTTCTTTTTGGCAGTTTGCACCTGGGTTTCAGGTAGGAGATGGAATTGGAATGGATTTAAAACTATCAAACCATGTTTTCAATGCTTTAAAACAACATGCCTACTCAGAAGAACGTCGAAGTGCCCGCCTCCACGAGAAAAAAGAACACTCTACTGCAGTAAGTAATCTTAAATTTTTTTCTGTTTGGTATTTTTTTCCCAAGATTGGCTTTTCAAATCTAAGATGTAAATAAACCCAGTAGCTTTGCTTATTAGACTTTTCAGCTTTAATGTAATGGTTATTAATCACTTATTTAAAACCTACAGTTTAGTGGTCATAATTTGAACTGTATAGTTTACATTGCATACTAATATTCTAAGAGTCTAAAGAAATTATGACATATTTGTAATAATTTATAAGTCTCTAATGTTTTACATTGACGAAGACAGTGTCTAACATCTTGAGAATAAAGTAATTTTTAA